AATCGCTATCAGAGAACAGTCATTTGTAAAGATAATTTAAAAGTAAAGTCAGAATGGCAAAAAATTAAAATAGGTGTGCCTCAAGGTTCGATTTTGGGGCCTCTTCTATTTCTTATATATATCAATGATCTTCCAAAAAATGTTTCAAATAATCTAATTCTGTATGCAGATGATACTACTGCAGTAGTTAAAACAAAAAACAATGAGGGATTAAAACATAAAATAGAAGAAAGCCTAACCGAATTGGGGAAGTGGTTTGAGATCAATGGATTGAAAATGAATGAACAGAAAACCAAATTTGTAAGATTTTGTACACCTCAATCAATGGCACCATAGGGCCGTAAAACCCCCGGGGGAGCGAGCTGGCGTAGTGGCTAGAGCGTGGGACTTCGGTCCGTGAGGTCCCGGGTTCGATCCCCGCCAAGTCACCAATGGATTTTATCTAAGTGATAATGCCGCAACCCCTAGGTCTAGCCTGAAGTAATGTGAAAAACAATCCCAGGCTCGTGCCTAGCGTCCTAATACAAAAAAAAAAAAAAAAAAAAAAATTGTGGGCCGATTAGGTTTTTACTATGGTCATAAAACCATCAGTACATTTACTTACTTAAAACATCAAAAGTATACAAAATACACAAGCAATATCCATATGCATTTTATTTCACCACTGCTGCCTAGCAACTATTTATTATTGTTTTTGCTGGTTCCTCTAAATATTTCTTCTTCTTCACATAACCTTAAAGTTGTAGTTGTGTTTACTGTTAATGTGCATTTATTGAGTGAAAAAGGCAACTTTAGACTCTCAATTTTGTAGTGTGGTGTAAAATGGCGTTCGTACCACGCGAAAGGGTTTTGCAGCTCTCGCCTTCGTCTTGAACTGAACTTAAAAAAACTATCTCGAACCGGCAAAGCCTCATTTTTGGTCCTAGGTACGAAATATACTATGACATATGTCTGAAGGGGACGGCACTAAGAATAGTGCCTAGGGGTGAAAAATGTATAAATCCGTCTCTTTATACTTACTTTATACTTTTCAATGAAATGGCGACCATACAAAGTAGGTATTTTAAGCCAAGTATGAATGGGGTTGATGACAAAGTTCTCTATACGAAAATAAAGAACAACTCAAGTTCTTTCCAATGGTACTAACCACTTTCTATTTAGGCCAAAATTAAGACTTGTAGATTTTTTTCAAGAAAACATGTTTTACAAGATTTTGTCGATTGCGGCTCAAAATGTTACGCGCGGAAATATTGTTCAAATTATAATACAGTAGAACCTCTTTAATCCGAACAAATTGGGACCGAGAGTAGTTCGGACTATTGAATAGTTCGGATTACAGAACATATTGTTGTTTTTACATAACAATAGCTAGGGAAAAGTGAAAAATACCTTATAAGTAAAATACAGTGTTTATTAAATACAGTAGTAAACATAGGGAATAAACAGTATTGTACATTATAATTGAAATAATTATGGTGTGTATATCAATAGATACAGTATACAATAAATAACTACTGTTCTGTGTATAGAGTACAGCAATGAGGCGTTCGGATTAGTGGACGTTCGGATTACAGGGGTTCGGATTAAAGAGGTTCTACTGTAGCAATTATATTGCTCTGTTAGTGAAACGAGGTTCGTTTATACATGAAAATAAAAGTTCAGAATCTCCTCTTTCCAACTGTGTCAAAATTATTACGCTTCTGGATCATTTTCATTGCGTAGTAAGCGTTTGAAAAAAAAACATGGACAGCTGTATGTAGCGTGCTCACTTGGTGATAGGTACACCTAAAAACATATATATATACACACCTAATGAAAAACAAAAAACATTATTTATCCACTGGCAGTTAAGTGAATTCTATTTTTGTTTTTGGTATACATTTTTATTATCCATCCAAAATAATAGTTCTTAGCGCAGCAACGCACGCCGGTTAACTGCTAGTTTTAAATAAAGTAAAATTATTGACGAAGCTAATGAATGGTATAACTCAAATTTATTGTTACTAAATTTAGGAAAAAACTGATTGGAATAAAAAAATCAGTAATGTCTGCAAAAAAATCAGTAGGATAATCAAACCCTTGAGAAAATTTAAAGATTGTGTTTAAATTTGTTATCTTAGAATGGTATACTTTGCTCTATTCCAGACCTATGGCCTTCTAATCTGGGGTAATAGCAGTAATGTCTATTAAGTTCTGATTTTGCAGAAGAGAGCTGTCAGAATTGTCAATAATTCACCCTATCTAGCTTACTTTAGGCCTCTTTTTGTTGATATTAAAAATAGCGGTTACCCACGGGCTTCACCCCGTTAGATTGGTTAAGTTAAGCTCAAATAAACAAAACAGAATAAATACAGTACCCTACAAACAAATAAGAACAGCTGAGGTATTTTAACATTAGGCATATGGAAAGTTCCCTTTAGAAAGGAATTACAACCTTAAAGGGCAGTTTATGAAATAATGGATAGTTTTGCGCAAGGTTTCTCGTCATGGCGAACATTTTAAGTAGGGATGGTCAAGTCTCGAAATTTCGGGAAATTTTCGGGACATTTTAAATCTCGTTACACGAGACGAGATTTCTTTTTGGCCGAGATTTTTATCAAGACGAAAAAAAAAAAAAATTAAAAACGCCTGCAGAAAGTCAATGCAATACCCGCAATACAGGAGCGTTTTGTAGTTGCGTTTCCTTTGCGAAGGCGTTCTTATTTAATTAATTCTTTAAATGTAAATACAGTAGAGTCCCGCAAACTCGGCACTCGATAACCCGGCAGTCTGGATAACTCGGCCATCACCTGGCTCAGAAAATTAGTGATTTTTTGAGTCCGAGTTAAACATGGACTCAAGCCAGCTCAAGTCAAATCATTAGTAACTCATACCAAGGATTTGTTGTACTATATCTGATGACTTAATACTAACTTGTAATATAAATATAAATAAAAAAGGCGGTTAAAAAGCTTAAAGATTTTATTGTTCTTATTTTTAACCGTAATTCCTGATAACCCGGCATTTCACAAACTCGGCACCCTTCCAGTCCACATTACGCCGAGTTTGCGGGACTCTACTGTATTACTTTAATTATTTTAATAATATTACTTTAATAACATTTGAGAAGTTTTGTTAAGTGTAAGCAGTGTGAGGAATGTTTTATTACTATAAAAAGTCAAAACAAGTAACTATTTTATAAAAACTAATATTGCTTTTATTTTATGATTTATTTTATTTTAGGATAAGTTGAACTAACTGATATCACTATGTTTCCTAATCGTAGGCATTTTTAAAAAGTTAAGCGTGATTAATAAAAAAAAATTTTATGCTGATGTTTTTTAATAAAAGATTGCAAATATTCTTGCCTATTATCATTATTTTTGTATTTAAACAGTCATCTAACAATGTTACAAAATCAGGTAAAAATTTTGAACGTGCATTTCCCGTTGTGTATGAGAAGGGAAATCCCGTCTCGATCTCGTCTCGAACTAAAAATCCAATCTCGTCCATCCCTAATTTTAAGTATATGGTTTATAGAGGTGTAACTTGTAGTTTTCTAAAAAATTCATGGGTACTTTGGGCTTTATATATAGACTAGCTGTACCCGTGGGCTTTGCCCCGTTTAACTTCATATTCGTATTTGCATGCCTCAATCACGTCCTGGTTGAAGTTCGTTCGCTAAGATCACTCACCTTTTGTTTGCAGATTAGCTGTTGTTATAAATTAAAAAAAATATATACAGTGCTGCACCCTGTTGGTAATCCTAGTAACTTTAAAGCTATTGAACATCATAGAACAGACCCAACTTGTTTAATTGAAACAGCTGTTAAGATTCATTAATTCCTTTTAAATATGAAGAATCATAAGGTTAACATGGGAAACTCCAGAGCCACTGGGGCGGAGTCCGAGAGTTCGATCAGAATAAAAACTACTTAGTTTTCCTATTTAATGCCCAAAGAATCAGTGTACCGAATTTCAGCCTCCTAGGTAAATGGGAAGTGGGAGAATTAGTGATGAGTGATGAGTGAGTGAGTCAGTCAGTCAGTGAGTCAGTGAGGGCTTTGCCTTTTATATATTAGATAATGATTGTCTTAAATATGTATATCTTTCTATGTTTGTTGTTTGCAAAAAGGAAATTCAGTAATTTTATTTTAAATGAAAATGTTCACTCATACAACACTAGAAGCTACTTGATACATATTCCTTTTGTACTAAGTACCTTTTGTAGACTAAGTAAGGTGAAAAATTCTTTTCAATTCACAAGCATAAAACTTTTCAAAAAAACTAAATTCTACCTCTTACCACGTTGATTATAATGTCTTTAAAACTACTTTGTACAGATTGTTAACTAGCCACCCTTTTTATAACTCGGCCTAGATGAGTTTTTAAAACCGATATTTCAAACCTCATGTTTTAAAATCCAATGCAAAGATGCAAAGACCCCAAATTGTTTTAGTTTTTACTGCCAGTCTAAGTCATTTTTGTTAAGTTAACTTGTTTCTGATTTTAACCATTTTGGTCTAGTCTTGTTTTATTTACCTTTTGTTAGTTTGTTTCAAAAACTATTTTTTATCATCTAGTCATGTCTAGATTGATGTCTAGTCATGTTTTTAAATAGGATATACTCGTCTTGTTTCTACTTTTTATTTATTGTAATTTACCTACATTTGTTACCTAGGGTTTGATTACGTAACTATCATTAGCAGTTTTTAAACTATGCCAGCTTGTTTTGACTTATTAAATTTAATTATCTTTGTTAATCTTTTATGTGAAAATAATTTAAATTTAATTACAATTTAATATTATGTGTCAATTTATAATTTAGCAAATGATGAGCCCCATTACACTATTATAAATTAAATGTGTAAATTAATTAAAATTAAATTACATTATAATATTATGTAGCAAATTATGAACCCTATTGCACTGTAAAATGTTTAAATGAAGATTGTTATATTTTTACCTTTAAAAAGGGAAAAAGAATTCTTATTCTTATTTTTTAGCTTTGAGTGAGTTACCTGTCTCAGCTCTTCTCTCAGACGGTTTTCTTCTTCCTCTCGTTCTCTATCTGGGAGGAAACTAGTGTCAACGTCAGGGTTTTTCTTAATTTTTTTTGCTAAAGATACTTCTTCTTCCTCTTCTTCGTCTTCCTCTTCTCCCTCCAAATCAAAGGATAAAGCTTGGATCTAGAAGAATTTGATTGAACTTGCTTATGAGTTGGTATGTATGTATGTTGCTACATACAGGGATATTAACTTACCAACCAAAATGTTTGTTTGCTTAAACTCCACACTTAAAAGTGTTATTAAAAATCACACACAAAGAAAATATAAATGATAAAAGTTAGGAAAACAAAGGCCGCTTTCCTCAAATCAAGTTTAACTTAATCTCGGTTAACTTTAATCGATGGGTTAAACTTAGGATGGCTTTCCCCACTATTTTGTCTTGGAAGTTTAGTTTAACCTAGCTTTTATTTGCTAGCAACAATGTTATGCAATTTTGTCTGAAATATTAGCTGTTTAGCTCATCACTATGACATATCTGTCATTAATTTTCTTGTGTTTTGGTTATTTGTATTAAGTTTCGTGTCGTCTCCAATTGTTGACATTAAAAAGAAACATTTTTATTTGCAGGCTACTGATGCTAATTTATAAGCATTTCATTTCTTGTGTTTAATTAAGATCAAACTTAATTAAACAGTAGACAATAGACAATAGACAAAGCTTTATTGTACATGACGCCTGATACAATAATTACAAAAGTAATTCCCAAGCTGGTACATGGTCAATGGCCTACTGTATGCATCAAATAACTGCATTAATTACAATCATGGAAAATAAAATGTTGGGAAGGACGCAAAATTAAAGTTTGTGGATTAAAACCTAGAGCCTATCCTTTGTAATGGCAGGCCTAGGCTACTCAGCATTTTAATTTAAAACAATTTTAATTTTAGGCCCACTACAGTAGTTGTTAATTCACACATGACAATAGGCTAGTGGTTAGGCCCGAATGTTAACTAATATTTACTTTTGTGTAATGTAAGAATCGTATTAAAATAAAATCAAACCAAAAGGCTTCTTATGAGCAAACTTTCCAACCACTGTTGCGTTGCTGTGGACAAGGTTGAAGGTAGCCTATCGATTGTACACAACTACAATACTACCTACCAAAAATATAATAATTCAGGACTTCTCTACGCATTTAACAACCTAAAAACCATTATATCTGTAGCCTTATATCTTTAAATTTGGAATAGTTATGAATTATCTACATAGGTTCTGGTTTGCTATATCTTAATTTATTTCCAGTTCATGTTATTTTAGGTTATGTTGAACAAACGTCAAACAAGGATATTTGCCATTGCCGTCTGCCGAACGTAACAAGTCAGCCAAAAGCCAATCAAAATCAAGCTATTATTCTTCTCTCCTGGTTTAACCCACAGATCGCCAGTTAAACCAGCCTCGCCCGGAGGGTTAAATTCAAACCTAGTTTAAACCGAGAAATTATTTTGGGGAAAGTGAATCTGAGGTTAAACTAGAGTTTAAACCGCGATGAGAGTTAAACTTGATTTGGGGAAAGCGGCCCTCATTTGGATGAGGTTCATAACTCCAAGTTGAAATAAAACCAAGTAACTTTAAATACAAAATGTCATAACCCCAAGCGTACAGATTTCCATGTAAACTGATACAAATTAATGCAGAGATATCATAAGTCCAAGTTTCATAACCCCAAGCGTTATAATACCAAGGTTTAACCCCAAGGTAAATAAAACCAAGTACTTTAAAATACAAAATTTCATAACTCCAAGCGTACAGATTTGCAAGGATCACAAGCCCTAGTTTCATAACTCCAAGCGTTTATAACACCGAGTTTCATAACTCCTAGTGACAATGGGTACAGTCCGTGCAGGAAACGATAACACACGCACACGCATTACACACACACGTGCTGGAACAGAGGTTCCGATGTTCGCGAGACTATTCGAAGTGGTGCGTTCCCTGTCGCTTCGCACGTTCGTCTAAATTGTAATAAAAATATTTACAGGATGAAATTTATATCTTTAAATTCTGCGTGAACTGATGTTTAATACGGTGTAGATACAATTCACTTTGTGCCGATGAGTAATTTTTAATAAAGGGGTGTATAAAAAGGTTGCTCAATGTAAACATGAAAAAGTAAGTGAGCGAGGATTTTTTTTGTCAGATAAAAACTTTTAGCGAGAAAAGTGTAGATGATTAGATGTTCTTCAATTTCTCTTCCAACAATTTTTTCGTAAAAAAAGTACAAACAATTTTGGAATAAATCTTCAATATATGTTTTGAAATAAAAACCAAGCAGAAGTTTTCTATATAATCTTGAATTGTTGATTATTAAGTCAATATCGTTATTTCATTTAAAACATTCCATCAGCACAACAACAACCTTCAAATGTGAAGAAATGTAAACAAAGTAAAATTATTTGTAAATTTCATTAAGACGTGTTTTAAAATAAAAATACCCCCGCCCCAGCAAACCTGCAGACTAAACGAATTTCAACTTGTCTGATTACATTTTTACTAAAATATTTCCATAAATATGAGATATAGTGTATTCCCATTTTAAATAACACTAGGAGTACGCTCGGAAGTCACGTATGAGAATGAAAGAAGACAATTTCATACATATAAAATATGTTATTTAACAGTATGCCTAACCACATTCATATCAGTTGATCAGCTGCCCAAGAAGTTTTAACTTAACTAGTTTACCTGTTGCTCGAATTCGAGCAATTGCTAAGTATTACAGGCGTTTTTTAAACCTGTTTGTCTCCTGAAGTAAACAGTTCATAAATACGTGACTCTTAGTTTTTATTTCTCCACATCTACATACTTCCTCTTCCACCAAGTGAAATTTGCCTTGAAATTTTCCATGTGCTGTGACAAACTGCATTTCATAATGGCCCATCTCCCAATCTTGTTCTAGTCTCTTTCTGATGTTAGGTATATATCCCAAAGTTTACCTTTAAAATATTAACATAAAACACTCTGCTCCCAACGTATTTGCCACTCATCTAATATCTCCTCTCTTCTGTTTCAGATGTCCTACCCGCCTCCTTGTCTTCCAAAATCAACAGCTTAGACCGGGCGCACACCTGATGCGGCACGGCACAGCACAGCGCGACGTTTTGCCTTAAGGCGCCTTATGCGACTAGATTTCTATTATTTCAAATGGGGGTGCCGCACACATCATCGGGCACGGCAAGGCAAGGCAAAACAGCGCCGTACGGCACTTTGTTCTGCCTTTTCAATTTTCGTCTTTCGGGCAAAAGGCTTGAGGCAAAACGATGTGCGCATGCGCGAGGATCGACACCACGTTCAGCGCAGTGACAGCCCCTGTCAAAATCAGTAAGTGCACTTCCAACGATTAGTAATTATGAATTTTTTCCGGATCTGCTCTTAGTTCTGAAATGAATGGTTTCAAGTCCTTTTTTGGTTGATGGGATGCACCAACAATTCTCTGTTAGGGAGATCATCCATTACATTCATTAGGTACCATCATTGACTATATAAACACAACAGTCAATGGTACCATATAGTAGCGATGGCAGCAGCCTCTTCTTCGCCTTCTGCATCCATTCTCACAAAATGTGTAGTACAAAGTGTCACAAAATGTACAAACAACCTCATAAGGATTTTATTTTACACAATATTTTGAGAGTTTATGTCGCTGAGATCTTCTTCACCATTTGCCATCTCCTCTTCCATGATCATTTTGAAGCAGATATGTGATAAGGTCTGAATAAGATATCTTCATTCTTTAGAGATGTGTTTGCATTTATTTAATAGTTGACTTAAAATTATATGTTCTTCCGAAGTAATACATATGTTTGGTGCTAATGATGTACTAATCTCCTCAAATGTCAATGTGCTGTCCTTTAGTGGATTACTTTTTTGATCACTGAAGTTGTGTGTTGTGCTATCATACTCATATATATTATATTATTATGGTACTCATCGTACATCATATTTTGAAAATTATCATTTATATTATTATTTGGCCTATGGCTATTATTATTAACTATTATTTGACATATTTGTCCTTCATGATGACACAAATTAAACTTCACTGTAACATTATTATTATTGATTTGCATATTGATTTCCTTTGTATTCAAATTCAAATCCATTTTAAGGGCGGATAGTACATCGACTCCAAGGATGACTGGTTTTATTAAGTTTGGCACTATCAAATATTCAGGCAGCACGGTATGTTTATTAATTGTAGTTGGGACATATATTGTTCGGGAAACACGCTTACTCTTTTCTCCTACAGCAGTTTTTATAACGGTATTATTTACAGGGAGTTCTTCAAATGGTTGTAGGTTTATTCTGTTTTCTTGAAACCATGATTCGGCTATACATGTAACTGACGAACCTGAATCAATTAAGGCATTTGTGTTGATGTTATTTAATTTTATGTTAATTTCTGGGCAGTTAATTTGAATGTAATTTTTGTTGACATTAGTTTCGGACTCATCTTCTAAGAGAAAGTTTTTATCACATAATATATTATTTGTCTGTATATCGTTGAGTATATGATTCTTAGGTTGACCGAGGATTTCGTACTTTGGCGCTGTATTCAATGAAGAATCAGTTGACATAATTCTTTCTCGGCCGTAATCTACAGCGCCGAGTGGTTTTCCGACCTCTGTGGAGATCGTGAAACACGAGAACTTGAATGGTGGCTGTTTAGTTGTGGATCCATGGGTGGAGTTATTAGGCGAGCTTGAATTTTGCCTATACATTGCACATAGTTGGTTGTGTTCCTTGGTAGGGTGATTCTGATTATATTTGTAGTTTTGGCCATAGTTCCGGCCTGGGTAGTGGTCACGTTGATATGGTTTGTAGTCTCGGTGCACCCGTTGGTACTGTTGGGACTCATTACCATTGTTTCTGTTGTATCGGTAATTTTGTTGATTCCTATGATGTTAGTTGTTCTGTGCATAGTTATCGCTGTGTTGGAAATTCTGGCGGTTCATCTTAGGCACGTAAGCTTGTTGGTTAGTATATCTATCGTGGTAACGTTGCGGGTTCTGTATGTTCGGGCTAGACGGTCTGCTGTTCTGATGACTGTTGTTGTAGCTCTTAACTTTCTTTGGTCCGTCTCGAATGTCATCCTTCTGTAGAAGTCGTTCCATGGCTCTTAT